TCTCTTTTCTAAAACTACAGTTCCTACATTGAGTTATGAGTGTTCTTCCCTCTGTAGTATGTCCTTTAACCAGGATACTATCATAATACTATATAACCTCTTGGCTTTGGGCAGCTTAATTCATCTCAGATTGCAGTTAAGAAATGGGGAGAAGAAACTTCTCCAAGCAGCTTTTCCTGCAAGCTCCTCAAAGTAAAGTTTGCACCAGAACTAATTCAGGGGACATCTTCATAGAGTTGCTGGCTGGCAAGACTTGAGCATGAAGAGTCAAAGATAAACTTTCTCAAGGGTAACAGATGGGGTCTTTGTCTCTAAGGTATGCTGAATATCTTCTGTCTCTCCTTCAGATTACTCTCCTCCCTTCTGCATCCTACTCTCTATCCTGAGAAGCTAACCTGTATGTACTATATCAGTGGGCTCCCCTGTGCTTTAGCTTCCAGTTGGATTCAGCCAATAGGGAGCCCTGGCAGGACACTGGAGACAAGGAGAATAATGAGGCCAGTGTATTGACTTTCCAGGCACCCTTCCTTGGGGTCACCTGGTCTAGCTGTGCCCCTTGATTGAAGGTCACTGCTCCTCTCAAAGCAGTTCTCCCCTTCCAGGTCCTGGTAATCGCTACCTCCCTTCATCTTTTCAGACCTAAGGCTGTTACCAGCTTCCAGTTACGAACTATCTATCCCCCTACCTATACTTTTTAAAAATAGCCCTTCATTATTCTGAGCATATCATCTATTTCCTATTGGAACTCTGTCTAATATACCTGGTAAAGGTAGGTGATCTTTTGGATTCATAAGCTTCATATGTTATCTATGTATTTAAACCTTAATCTCATACAAACCCAAATCAAACCCACTGCCATCAAGTCGATTCCAACTCATAGCAACCCTATCTTTACAGAAGCAGACTGCCACATCTTTCTCCAGCTGAATGGCTGGTGGGTTTGAACCACTGACCTTTTGGTTAGCAGCCAAGCATTTTAACCACTGTGCCACCAGGGCTCCTATTCTCATACAAGTAACCTTAATTTCTTATGAGTCAACAGTTCTGAAGGGTCAACTGCTGGATTAAGTAGCAGAGAGTGACTCATACCTGTTCCCCAGTGGCGGGTGGTGGCATCAAGGAGACGTAAATCTGAGAATAGCTCGGGCCCCTGTGACTTAGCCCCCAAAGAGCCCAAGATGCTGAACAGCTTTTCAAGCTTTGTGACTGTGGAACCTTCTGTGTTTCAGGTCCCTAAAGCCTTATACAAGCTGATAGACTTTGCCTGCTGGGGCCCTGGTTTCTCCATAACCTCCCAGGATGCCTCTGAGAAATCAGCTTAGAAATCCCTGAGGATAATGGTTCTATCCTCCTATTGGCATATTCTAGTTTTTCTAAAGACAAAGTTTGAGCTAACATGATTTTTAAAAAAGACTATCTGCATTTGACTGTGTGGATCATAACAAATTACGGATAACATTGCGAAGAATGGGAATTCCAGAACACTTGTGTTCATGCGGAACCTGTACATAGACCAAAAGGCAATCATTCGAACAGAACAAGGAGATGCTGCATGGTTTAAAATCAGGAAAGGTATGTGTCACAGTTGTATCCTTTCACCATACTTATTCCATCTGTATGCTGAGCAAATAATCTGAGAAGCTGGACTATGTGAAGAAGAACGGGGCATCAGGATTGGAGGAAGACTCACTAACAACCTGCGATACACAGAGCACACAACCTTGCTTGCTGAAAGTGAAGAGGACTTGAAGCACTTACTGATGAAGATCAAGGACTATAGACCTCAACCTAAAGAAAACAAAAGTCCTCACAAGTAGACCAATAAGCAACATCATGATAAATGGAGAAAATATTGATGTTCTCAAGGATTTCATTTTACTTGGGTTCAAAATCAACTCCCCTGAAAGCGGCAGTCAGGAAATCAAACAACGTATTGAATTGGGCAAATCTGCTGCAAAAGACCTCTTTTAAGTGTTAAAAAGTAAAGATGTCACCTTGAGGACTAAGGTGAGCCTGACCCAAGCCATGGTGTTTTCAGTTGCCCCATATGCATGTAACAGCTGGACAATGAATAAGCAAGACCGAAGAAGAATAGACGCCTTTAAATTATGTTGGCAAAGAATACTGAATATAGCAGGGACTGCCAGAAGAATGAACAAATCTGTCTTGGAAGAAGTACAGCCAGAATGCTCCTTAGAAGTAAGGATGGCAAGACAACGTCTTACATAATTTGGACATGTTATCAGGAGGGACCAGTCCCTGGAGAAGGACATCATGCTTAGTAGACGGTCAGCAAAAAAGAGGAAGACCCTCAAGAAGACGGATTGACACAGTGGCTGCAACTCAAACATAGCAACGATTGTGAGGATGGCACAGGACAGCGGACTGTTTCGTTTTGCTGTACATAGGGTTGGTATGAGTTGGAGCCAACTCTATGGCACCTAACAACAACATCTACAGATTCCTTAATTGGGGTCATGTTTACCCCTCTATTGTCAGTGATGATAATTTCTTTGAATTCATTCCCTTAATTTATTATTCACTATTTTCTGTCAGGAAGAGGTATATTACGAGTATTTATGAATTGCATACTTGGTAGTAGTCTCTTTTGGGCAAATAACATTTTCCCACAAAGCACTTCATAGCTCTCAGTGTAACACAGTTGCTTCCAAGGAGCCCTGGAAAAGTCCTGAGGGTCCAGCGTAGACACTCTTGGCTGTAAATATTACGTCTTATAAAATGGATGAAAATCCTTCACACTTAAACTACAACCAAGACTTTAACCTGTAAATTCCCGCTATCTGCAGGTCACAAGGTTAAAATTCTTTTGCAGATTGTACTTACCTCTCTACTGGGTCAGTATTTCAACCTGAAGATCGTTTACCCCTTATTGCTCCTGACCACCTCCAGGGCAGGAACTGTATTTGTGAGATTTGTCTCTCACAGGGCTGTGAAAGGCTGCAGCTTTGAAATTTTGCTTTGTCCTGGCTGAGTATCTTGGTTTGAAAAGGATAGTGTGACTGGAAAGATTCTCCACTCCTTCCCTGGTCGCCTCCACTGTCCAAGAACTAACAACGGGCTCAAAGCCTTTTGGTTTAAATAAGGCTTCCAGTAAAGGAAGAATCAAAAAATCACTCCAAGTCGGTGAAACAAGCCCCGAGGAGACAAAGCGACTCTGGAGGATAACCAAATTTGGGCAAACAACCTAACTGAGGTGTGAGGCATGTTGAGAGGGCATTGAAGACCCTTGAGGGTGAGATATATAAATGAAGGTTGTAAGGACGCAAACGCAAAAGGCTTGGCTACCGAAAGCAGATTTCCTGCAGTAAAGACAGGAGCAGCCTCAGCGTGAGTTTGGAGGAATCACCGTCCCCCGAGGTACCGTACTTTCTCCTTTAGGAAACGTTTTCATATTCCTGTCCTTCAACCTTTCAACAGCCCCATTTTTCAGATGAGAAACCGGTGGCTTAGGGCAGGGTTCTGACTTGTAACGACCACAAGTGGTAAAAGGTGGAGCGGGAAACAATCTCAGGGTTCCTAACCAAATTGTTCCCAGCGGGTTACCGGCGAGGGCACTTAGGCAGCCAACGGGGAAGGAACTGGCAAGGCTTCTGTAGCTGCAGGGCTTGTTCCGGACTCTAGGCGGCGCCAGCGGGCGGGCGGCCTGGGGCTCGAACCGCGCGGACACTCCCGCCACGCGCCGGCCAAAATCCCGACTGCTAAATCCGCAAGAGCACCCATCGCCCCCGCGAGGCCTTAAGTGTCCTTAGCGCGGGGGGTGCTGGGCGGGGCACAGGGGTCCTGTTCTTCCCTCCTGTTAGTCCCCGGGGTAACGGACGGGTACCCGCAGCCAGCCGCAGCCGGAGTGAGGGAACCTCAGGAACGCCACACGGTAGCCGAGCCCTAGCGCGCGAGGCTCGAGTCCGCCCCGAGGCCCCGCGCGGGGGAGCTACGCATGCGTGCGGTGAACGCGCGGTCTGGACACGCTCCTTCTAGCTGCAGGGAAGCGCTCCCTAGGGAACTGCTGGGGCTCACCCTTCCCTCCAACAGGGCTTATTCCTTTCGCTGTGTCTGCAGCTTACCCGCGGCCCCTACCCTTCATGCAACCCAGACTCTTCCAGCCGGATTCTCCTTAGGACAAGATTTCCTGATGTGCAGCTTCAGTCTCTCACACTGCAGCTCCATCTTACCTCTCCTACACCGCCTCCCTCCGCTGTACACACCCACACCCACCCACCATAGATTACGAAATCCTGAATCCCTTCTTCAGTCCAGAAACGTGCTCTGCGTGCCCTCCCCTAAACTCCACCATGGCTCCCTTGGGCCCTGGCTCATCTCCACACCCCATTGCTTCGCTTGCCGCCTTCAGGAAACCTTTCCTGATTAACCCCGGTGGGGCTTCAGCCATCCCAATTAGTCAGGAGAGAGCTCAAGGCGGAGATTCTGGGGCAAAGGCGCCCAGAGCGAGCGCCGACCGATTCCCGGCCCGTCCTTCCCCCTCCGCGAGAAAAGGCAGGCAACGGCTGGGGACACAGCTGTATTGGGGGACACAGCTGTATTGGGAAGCGGAGGCTCCTACACAGTAGGAGGAGGACGTCCCAGGAGGCCCGAGAACTCTGTACACCGCGCGCTTGGCGCCCGCCCGCCCCGCAGTCCGCGTGCGGCCCGCCCGGGGCCGGCCATGGAGGAAGCCCGGAGGGCGAGTTAAGGCAGCTTGGCTGGAGGGGAGGGGGGAGTGGGAGTCGGCCGATTCCCCTCGAAAAGCTGGCTCACTGAGGGGACGGGCGTCTCACCTCCCACTCCTCTCTCGAGGACCGGGAAAAACAGCAATAAATAAACCCGAGCCGGAGAGGGGGCCCCGGGAGACTCTCAGAGTCCAGGAAGGCTGCAGGTGGGAACAGGAGGGACGGGGTGGCCTGTCCTTGGAGAGGCGTCCACACCCACGGCCGTAGGGGGCCCAGGCCTCAGGGGCCCCATGTGAGGCCACAGGGCCGCTCCCTTTAAAAGTTAAAATGGCTGCCGTTAGAGACGGCCTGCTGGGAGGAAGGACTGACGAGGGGAGGCTTCGGGGGCAACTGGGGCTTCTCGGCGTCCACCCTCTTCGGGGCGCGGCCCCGGTATCCCTCGGGCCGGCCCAGGTACGGGAGGTGCCTCCCGAGACCCCCGGAGTGTCTGGAGGGGCCTCCCGAGGGGACCCGAGTGAGCAGGGCGGGTGGTGCT